ATCGCACACAGCCGACCATACACCCAGTATGATAGCGTAAAATCGCGAATCACGATACCATACTGGGTGTATGGTTGGCTGTGTGCGATTTTGCGAGTGTGGTAAATTCGGGTTACCGTATATTTCTTTCCATATGCATTGAAGATTCGCGATTTTGCGCTATCATGGTGCCTGTTAGAATGTTGAAGAGCTCGCACTTGCGCACTAGTGAGGTCCCAGGGAGCTGTTGTGGGCTGCTTGCCTGTGTTCCTGAGAAGCATCTACGGTACCAGTCTATAGAGTGTGTTTTCTTTAGTGAATTACCGGTATGTTTACCGGTAATAAACTTGCACTGTTTTATGTATATGTTTGATTACATACAGCCTTGTGACAGTTTTCCTGCATGTCATAAGCATTTGAATATAAATTAAAATGTTAAAATCAAATCTGATATTGTTTTACCTTTTATTTGGTGTGTGGAAGGTGTGCGGAAGAGGGGGTAGTCTTATACGGCGAGTATATAACAAACTCTGTATTTTGAGTGGAAATGTTAGGGGGTCGTCTTATACGCCGGCAAATACGGTAATCTGAAGGTATCACTATGATAGTGAACAGAGTAACTTGGAAGAAGACAGGGCAGCACCTAGGAGTAAATAAGGAGGTTACAGATTTGTGAAATTATAAAATGCTTAAAGAAAATGAGGATGACAATTTTGGATGAAGTTTACTTATACCTATAATATTGCTTTCTAACAAAGTGTTCTGAAATTGTCTTTTGGTGCTTGCCGAATTCATCTGAAGTTCTTCCATATCTTGTTTTTCCACTTGCTCTTTAACATAGTCAGAAATTATTTATAGAAGTGTACTTTATTAGTAAAAAGTATGATAAACATTTCTTTTGGCATATTTGATAGATTTCTCAAAAATACACTAATATTCTCTCCACTAGCAATTTGTTTTTTTAAATATATTTTATTGATTTTTTACAGAGAGGAAGGGAGAAGGAGAAGGATAGAGAGTTAGAAACATCGATGAGAGAGAAACATTGATCAGCTGCCTCCTGCACACCTCCTACTGGGGATGTGCCTGCAACCAAGGTACATGCCCTTGACCGGAATCGAACCTGGGACCTTTCAGTCCGCAGGCCGACGCTCTATCCTCTGAGCCAAACCGGCTACTAGCAGTTTTTTAAAAAACTATTATGAAAATATATTTATTTTTAAAATTTATATTACCCTTAATTTAAAAAAATGTTATTTGAACTAAAAAGAGTACATTTCACATTGATATGGCAGAATAGTCCTTATGTCTTGAATTTTATCTTTTTTGTTAGAGCTACATTCTTTCTGAGGAAGCCATTGTATTTTTTGACAGGCAGGAAAGAAAGACCATGTTCCACAACTCACCTGCAAAAAAAGCCAAAAACCATCCAGCTCTTAATTCCTGACCTATGAAGTAGAAATGCTGTGAGACTTGGCATTAGAAAAAATGAGTGGTAGAGGTTTATCTCCTAAGCCTCTATTTTAGAAACACTGAGACATGTTTTACAGCAGATGGGAATCCACTAGGTGGCGTAGTTTTGTGACGTTTCTTTCAGTAGTTGCTGTAGGTCAGGAGATCCTTTGAAATTGTGTCCCCAATTATTTCAGAATTCCAACAAAGGGGGCCTGCTCCGAAAGAATGCTACATTTTTTTGAAGTTCAGAAAGACTTTGAAATAAAAATATAGTTGTAGGGTTTGTGTTGAAGCAGTTGTGGGTCAGTAAGAGTAAAGAGGAATTGTGTTTTTATAGAGAACAGGATTAGAGGAGAAGTCACTAAGTGGGTGGTGATTTGGGGATAAGGAAAAGAGTTAGAGCATAATGTAACCAGAATGATGTATGCTAAAATTATGGTTGGCACAGTTTTGCCCATTTATTGACTCTAGAGCTTAAGGATTGTCACTGGAGGTGTAAAGAGAAGGTAAAGAGGTGAGATGAAATGAAGCAGGAAGAAGAGAGAAAAGGGGCATATGGTTTCAGGGCCAGTTCCTCTTGGGGTTTTGGGGAAAGGATGGAAGTACAGGAAGAAAAGAGATTTTAGCAGGTAAAAATAGAGAAACCAACTGTGAAAATACCACTTATTCCAGTGTTTATAACTTCGTAATATCCACTTTTTAACAGGAGATATTGGGCTAAGTTTTGTCTGTAATTGTGCAGTGTAAGACAGTTTGTGATATTTTTCAACAGAGATTGAATTGGTTAATTCACTTGTACTTAGGAACCTCCCCTGTGGTTCTAACTTCATCAAAGCTCCAGGCTTATCTTTATTCTTATATCTCAGTATTACATTGCAGGAGCGGATTTCTGATTGTTGTGTGTGTAACTCTGTCTTATATTTCTGTATTCCTGTTTTGGGATAATTTGCTTTCTAATACCCTTGTTTTCCTTAGTCTTTAGTCTCTAGGTTCTGTGTAAATAAGAATGGTATAAATTTGGGGCCAAGATTTTATTAATTTAAGCACTGAAAAATAGAATCTTATAGCTTTGCAAGGGATATTGAAAGACCCCTTATCTTTAGGAAAGTGATACTTGAATATGCCAGAAACAGAAAGTGAGCTTTTTAAAAAGACTTCCACCAAAGGAGTTTCCACAATTTCTTGATGTCTCATATAAGGAATTCCACATCTCACCTAAACCACTTGCTATAACAAACATTTACATTCTTTGTTGTTGAGAATCTCTTAAGTAGCATCTGCTTGTGTGTATATGGTACACTCAAGTACCGTATTTGCCGGCGTATAAGACGACTGGGCGTATAAGACGACCCCCTAACATTTCCACTCAAAATACAGAGTTTGTTATATACTCGCCGTATAAGACTACCCCCTCTTCCGCACACCTTCCATACACCAAATAAAAGCGGTATGTGGAATGAAGTGGGCGGGCATCGGGAGGCCACTATGGCACGGGGCAAGCACTATGGGCAGTCTATCTGAAGTGTACCTGGCGCATAAGACGACCCCCCACTTGGAGGCATATTTTTCAGGGCCAAAAAATCGTCTTATACGCCGGCAAATACGGTACCACATCTTATTGTTTAGCATATGGCCTAACATGTGCAGGGTCTGCAGTACTCAGAAGAAAAATGATGAGGAAACATAAGTAGTATGAATAAGTGAATTTCAGAGATATGAAGGGTGTTGAGTAGCTGTGAGTTGTATGCCTAGACACTGGGGCCTGTGAAAGTTATCACCTCTTTTCTCATTGTTTCTGCTTTTGTATATTCTCTCTTCAGATTGAAAAAGCTACCATCCTCTCTGTGAGATTGTTTATTGTCATGTATTTTCCTCTTTTAAAGGCTGCAAATAATTCCAGTTCTTTTCATCTTTCCTGAGAGGTTTTTTTTTTTTTTTTATCCTGCTAATCATTTTGAGTCCCTTCTGAATCCCTTCCAAGTTTTATTTTTCCTCAACCCTCCTTTTCAGTTTAGAAATACGAAACTGGACACAGTGCCGGGAGTTTCTAACCACTTTGGAGTATCGTGAGAGGAAGATTTCACGCTTGAACATGTGCCAGAGGCCATTTCACATAATCTTAGATTATGTTTGCTTTCCAAAAGTGTAGTCTTATGGTACTGACTGGCTGTCAGATTTTTATCTCCTTATGACCTTGATCTTTTCCTCTTATGTTTATTTATAGCTTGTGTATTCATCATCTTTTATTTATGGAGTTTATTTTTCTTAGCTGAATAGATTGCTTTGCACTGTCCTCATTGAAATTCATTGCCTTTTTTTCTCATTAGTTTACCACTTAATGTCATTTCAATTCTTATCTTCCAACGTGGCCAAACAATAGGCTTCATATTGGCTGTGTTACTCAAGTCAGTGATGCAGGTTTTAACAAAAAAATAAATAAAAAAGGAAGAGGTAGAAACAATGCCAGAATAAGATTTGTTGAAGTTTCTTAAAATTCTCTAATGAGCAGCTTGGCTGAGTGGTAGAGATCTGTTTGTGTTTTCCTCCTGTGCTTTTTATACTTGTAAGATCTACTCCTTTCACCACCAGAGTTTGGTTCCTGCATCTCTACACAACTGTGCCAAGGAACAAAGAAAGCTTTGTCAGCATTTTATCTTGCACACTGCTGTCAAACTTAATCTTAATCACTGCCTTGTACATATCTCTCCCTGTTCATAACTTGCAGTGGCTCCCCATCTCCACTGAATTAAATACAAACTTCCTAGTCTTCCATTGAAGGCACTTTTTGGCCTCAGCCTCTCTATCTGGTCTGATTGCTTGTAACTATGTTTCATGCAGAACGAACCACTTGTCATTTCCTGGATCTTTCTCACACTTTCTGAGGCCTTGGTTAGTCTGCATTGTTTGCTCTGCTTAGAACACTCAAAAGCTTTTCTTTCCGATTTCTGTCAATTAACACCATTTAAGACCAATTTCTTTCATGTTCCTTTCTTTCTGGATTTCTCTAGCTCGATATGATCTTTTCTTCCACCCTCCAATTTTTATATTCTTCGGGGTAATTACTATATTTTGCCCTTAGTTAAAGCTATTTGTGTGCTTTTCTTATCCTACCTGGTGGACTATCTTTTTTGAGAACAGTCTCTTCTTCATCATGATAACTTTGGATGTTCCTACTATATATTTGCATAACTGATTACATACTTTTTTCTACAGGTATGTACACACCAAATAGATGAATTGGACCAGTTTGAGCACAATGTGTGATATATTTGATTTAAATTTTAGTGTAAAGCTCCTTACCTACTCACAGACTGGTAACAAAATTTGTGGACTCACAGTTGGTCTACACTGTGAGTAGCATTGTTATAGTCGACTTCTTTCCCCTTAAAAGGGTTCTGGAAGGAGGAATTAAAGGTGTATATAAATTTTGTATGAAGGTTTATGTAAATTATCATTTATCGTGTTAGTCCTTAAGCCAAGATTGATAAATACAGCAATTGCTTGATAGTGTACTTAAAGTTGTGTTCTAAAAGTCTTTTTATAATTTTTTAAACTTTATTTTGTAGAAACTACCCAACTCTGGCCAATATTGAAAGGAAGAAGAAGTTAAAACTTGAAAAGGAAAAGAGAGGTGCAGTATTGACAACAACACAGTATGGGTAAGTTCCTTAAAATTGCTTGCATTCTCACTGCTTATTTTAAACATTTATACTTATAAATAAAAAAGGAACGTATACCAAAATCTTAAAATATCTACACTCCCGATTCTAAAATATTTGCTTTTGTACTCTTTTACTTAAAAATTTTTAAAATAGTAATTGCCCTATATTTGTATGGTTTTCAGAAAGATTTATAATTAATAAGTCTTTTCTGTCTTTGTCTCCCAGCTAAACAATTCTCTTTCCCAAAGACAATCCATTTTATCCTTTCACAAATATCCCATATGTATATGTATACAGCACATAGATAATAATCTTTTTTTCTTTTTTCACTCTATTCTACATCTTGGTTTTTAGCCAAATAATATACTTGTAGATTGTCCCATATTAATATATAACAGATTTCCTCATTCTTTAAGGATGTATAGGCAGCGTAAGGATATCCCATAGGGTCGTTTTTTGGTAACTATTGACAGACTCTTAAATTCTTACCAATGTTTTACTAATAAAAAGTTGCCATTATTGCTCTATACATACATTTTACATATGTGCAGGTATTTCTGAGGATGGATTCCTAGAAGTGGATTTGCTAAGTTAAAAGATATGTATATTTGTAATATTGATAGCTAACTGCCAAATATCTATCATAGAAGCTGTTCTAATTTACTCTTCTACCAGCAATGCATGAGACACCATATTTTCACTATCCCTCACCTTCATAGATTTTTTTTTCAGAATTTTTTTCATTTTATTTTTTAGTGAAATATATTTTTAATATAAGTAAAATATACAAATTTTAAATGTACAACTTGATAAATTTGTGTACACACATACGCAAACAACTATACATCTAGTAATGCATTTAGGCAATTTTGTCATTGTGTGGACATTTAAGAGTGTATTTATGCAAAGTTGAAACTATAATATTGCCTACTATACACCTAGGCTATATGGTATAGCTTATTACTCCTTGGCTACAAACCTGTACTAAATACCATAGGCAGTTGTTAACACAATGGTAAGTATTTTATGTCTAAACATAGAAAAGGTACAGGAAAATACTATATAAAAGATAAAAAATGGTATACCTGTATAGGGCACTTATTATGAGTGGAGCTTGCTGGACTAGAAGTTACTCTGTGTGGGTCAGTGAGTGAGTGGTGAGTGAATGAAAGCCTAAGCCATTACTGTATACTTATAATACTTATGAATTTATAATGTGTATAAAACAATGTATAAAACATGAGATTAAATCAAGCACAAGTGAAAATGATCAGCCAAGAGATGCAGTAAACATGATATGTATAAGGCTCTACTAATGTAACACAGTATACTGTTTTACAGCAAACGTTTTTTATAAATAGAGTGTTCTAAAATAACAAAAAGTATAGTAAAAAAAAAACAAAACAAAAAAAGTGTCATTTTTACCATTCTTTTGTGTGTAATTTCAAAATAACTTTGTGAGATTCATTTATATTATGTGTAGCTATAAATTTTTTATTTTTATGGCTGTGTAAAACTCAATTGTGAGAATATATATCTTCTCACTGTTAGACATTTGGATTGTCTCCAGTTTGGGCTTTATGAATAAAGCTGCTATGAACATTCTTTTACATGTTTTTTGTTGATGTAAAAAAAAAACAAAAACACACACACACACACACACACACACATACACACATACACATACTAGAGGCCCGGTGCATGAAATTCATGCACTGGGCGAGAGAGGGGGGTCCCTCAGCCTGACCTGTGCCCTTTCACAGTCTGGGACCCCTTGGGGGATGACTGCCTGCTGGCTTAGGCCCAGTTCCCCCAGGACCTAAGCTGGCAGTCAGACATCCCTCTCGCAGTCCAGGACTCCTCGCTCCTTACCGCCCGCCTGCTCGCTGCTCCTTACCACTTGGCTCGCTGTTCCTTAGCGCTGCCGCGGAGGCTCCCGCTACCACCACTGTGCTTGCCAGACATGAGCCTGGTTTCTGGCTAAGTGGCGCTCCCCCGTGGGAACGCACTGACCACCAAGGGGCAGCTCCTGAGCGTCTGCCCTCTGGTGGTCAGTGTGCATCATAGCAACCAGTCGTTCAGCCAGTCGTTTGGCCAGTCGATCGACTGTGTGGTCAATTTGCATATTAGGGTTTTATTATATAGTACTAGAGGCCCAATGCATGAAATTCATGCAAGATTAAGGCCGTCCTTCCCCCGGCTGCCGGCACTCGCTTCCCTCTGGCACCCTGGATCCAACCTTCCCTTGGGATGCCGGCAGGCAGCTGGGACCCGGGCTTCCCTCCCAGCCCCGGCTTCGTCTGGAAGGATGTCTGGTCTAATTAGTATATTAAGCTTTTATTATTATAGACTAGAGGCCCGGTGCACAAAAATTTGTGCACTCGGGGGGGTGGGGGGGTCCCTCAGCCTGGCCTGTGCCCTCTCGCAGTCTGGGACCCTCGGGAGATTAACGACCTGCTGGCTTAGGTCTGCTCCCGGGTGGCAGAGGGCAGGCCCAATCCCTAGGTGCAGCCCCTGGTCGGGCTCAGAGCAGGGCCGATTGGGGAGT